AAAAAAAAAAAGGAATGAGAGATAAAAAAGATCTATGTCGGAAACATTTGTTTTGGTTTAACACGAAAGAACCGCCGAGGGATTTCCTTCCTCCCCCACCTTCCTCAATCCTAAATTCATTCTTTCACACCATAAAGATCCTTGTTTTCTTTTTGATTTTTCTCTCCACCCCTTGTGCGTGTCATTCTTTTCTTTAATCCTTGGACAGGACACTAAAATAAAAAAAGGTTCTTTTGTTTCTATCTGATATACATCAAATAATATTTACATGTGTATGTGTGTGTTTGTGTTTGTTAGGTCTCTGGAGGATATGTAAAATTGAAAGAGTTGTTGGTTAGAGTTAGTTGGTTGGTTGGTTGGTTGATTGGCTTGTATAAGCTCATCGAATTGAAATTACGAGTTTAATCTAATCGAGTTTAATAAACGACAGTGATTTCACACTCTCTCAACCAACCGTGACTATACACACTTAATTAGATTATTCGAAATATTTCTGATGATTCCTTCTTATTTGTTCATTTTTTTCTTTTTTTGAACTTATAGTTCTTTCGGCACGTTTTGAAAAGTGAAGTTAAGTTGCGACCGGAAAAATCAACACCACGAAGTTGTCGAGAATATTTACGATGCGCGCGCAAATCGAATTTCAAATTTTGCGGTTGGAAGTAATTTGTAAATAAATAAATTAGATTGTAGATATTAATTAAAATCTTTATCAATGTTATTTAATATCTTCATTTTATTCGTCTTTTCGATAAATGTAAAGTATTATATCAGTAAATGAGATAATTGAAGTTATTTTTGATATTATTGAGGTTATGTTCGTTTTGTTAAGCTAAAGAAGTATAATTTCTTACTTGCGTACATAAGTACACACACCAGTTTGTTTTATTTCTGTTTTTACTTTTATTTGTGTGTACAATGAATTAGAATAATTTATAATATGTTGGATAAGAATAATAACGGTGAAAAAAATGTTAAGAAAATGTCGTTTAAATTTTGTTTCTGATGAAAATCTTTCAAATATTTTCTTCCCCGTTTTTATTTGTTTCAATTATATTTCTCATTGTCAGTCAATTCTGTGAATAATTTTGTGTTGGTGTTGTTGGTGTTGGTATTGGATCGAAGGAAATGTTACGAATTCAATGAATGCATTGCTGTACACAAACCAATAACATGGTGTGTAACAACACTCCCCGTGCTATTTATATGTCGGAATTCCACTTGATCGTGAAAGGAAGAAGAAACAATCGAATCCATTTAGAATTTTCAATGGCTTCAAAAACTATTACCCACACTTCCTCCCTTCCTCCCTTCTTCTTCTTCTTCTTCTCTGTTTCTTTATCATTCAATTTCTAAGACGTGCTTGTAAATCTAAACTACGAGAAGGAGAGAGAGAAAGAACAATGTGTTTGTTCGATTAGAATGTTACGAATACTAATCGTTACTTTCGATCGTGCGTAATACTTTTTTTCTTTTTTTTTTTACCAGTTGTTATAAATTTAAATATCGTTTTATCGAATGATGAATTCATTTTTTTAAAAAATGTATAAATATTCGAAATATTCGAGTATTTCGTTTGATTCGCGTAGTACTTTTCCCTCTCCTCCCTCTACTTTCGATAATTGGCGGCTTTTCTTTTTTATTTTTATAAATTGTTATAAATTTAAATATTGTTTTTTCGAATGATGAATTCATTTTAAAAAAAGAAGAATAAGTATTCGAAATGTTCGAGTATTTCGTTTGATTCGCGTAGTACTTTTCCTTCTCCTCTTACTTTCGATAATTGGCGGCTTTTTTTTTTATTTTTACAAGTTGTTATAAATTTAAATATCGTTTTTTTGAATGATAAATTCATTTTAAAAAAAGAAGAATAAATAT